ACACACACACACACACACCGTATACAGAACATTCTGGATTAACAGTTCCTCCCTCCAATTAAAGGTATTTCTATCCGAGTTCTAGGAAACGGCTCTACGTTATCTGACAGAAAACCCTGCAGGAAGGTAGAGATGCAGTCAGCAGGAGCTTCTGACTCCAATAGTTCAGGAAATAGTTTAATATGACTTTACATTTTCACTGGAGCCATAGTGGTGAGTCTGGTGAAATCAGGGCTTCAGTCGGGTCCCTCTATCCCCCAGACATGGAGGGAATCGCCATAGTAACCAGAGTCACTCAGCAGCTTTTATCTCCTATTAGTTCTCTGAGCGGCTCTGAGTCGTCAGTGAAGGTGTGTATCAGGAGGAACCTGCAGCTGGAGAGCAGAAGGTGTTACCCTGCAGGTATGCTCACTGCAGGCTCTGCAGGTCGCAGCATAGCAGCTCTCAGATCGGTTCAGTCTGGGTGCAGGAGCAGGAGGAGGTGCAGCGAGGAGCCGCCGCGGCTTCAACGCCGCTTTAGGATTTTTCCCTTTTTCCAAACGGAGTTGAGGAGATGCTGAAGCTGAGGAGACGGTTTCATCCCAAGAGGCGCCTGCGCAGCACCTCCAGCAGCACCGCGGGCTCCGTCAGCGACCTGGAGGACCGGGTGATCATGACCTGCGAAGACGTACCAGATGAGAGCTCCTTCGGTTCCAGCTGGGGCCCCAGGGTCGGGTCCAGCCAGGGGTCCCAGAGGGGGGCCCTGGAAGCTGCTCTGATCCACCTGTCCTCCGGGGACCAGCAGGACGTCGTTGACGTGTAGGGACCCCGGGAATGTGGGGACCAGGGAGAGTTCAGTCCACGTCTGCAGAGCGGCGGACGGGACACGTTTAGACGTTTCCCGCTTGTTCCTGCATGTTCCTTCTGTCTGCTTATTCCTGCATGATATGAATTCATTTCCACGTCCTCGCTTGTTGCTACGTGTCCGTGCTGGAATCAGGACAGGCGTAAAAAAAGCCGCCTGTGGCGACGTTAAGATGCTCAGAATAACCTGTGAACAGATCTGCGGTTAGTGAAGATCATTAGAGACGATGTTAGTGATGTTCTCCTGATCTTCCTAAAAACCAAAACATTTCCTCCTGGTTTTAATCACCTGAAATCTGCTGCTGAAGATTCTCAGTCAT